GGCGTGATCGCCGACGACGCGGGGTGCGGGCGGCCACGCCCATGCACGCTGACCAGCGAGCACTTGAAGGCTTCTCTGTGGTCGCCCTGGCCCCTGCTGCTCCTGATCCTTGCGCTGGTACTGACGCCGCCACTGCCGCTTGTGTTCTTGATGCCGTTGGCGATGTTCTTCATTCCGGCTCCCTTCACCTCTTCGTTCTTCCCTTCCTCCTCCTCCGCTTCCTGCTCCGCCTCCTACTCCTCCTCCTCAACCCCTCTTCTTCCTTATGGACAACTCCTCCACGCCACTACGAATTCTTGGCAACCGATGTTCCGAAGCTTGAAGTCCCCAGCAGTTGCACGGTTGGACGGCTGCTCTTTTTTCAAAATCGGGTCCGCGCCCAGAACAGCCATCTCGAACAAATCTAGCCGTTGCACAAATGGAGGGCAGCACCTGTTCAAAATGGGGTTCTCGTTTTGATGCCGCGCAAGTTCGTCTGCAGCATACCCAGCAGATACACGGATGGAGGAGGGCCCATAGTTTTTCGAAAAGAGGGTTGTTGATTTGGCGCCGCGCACATTCGTCTTCACAAAGCAACAGCTACGCGGATGGATGGTGGTTCCTTGTCAAAGTTGGGGTCCTGTGTTGGCGCCACGCACTCTTGTCTTCCAGGTGTCCACCAGTTACACGGATGGAGGGTGGCATTTTTTTCAACGTAGGGTTTCCCGCTCGAGATCTCTGCAAGTGTTGTGACTTTGGATTCCAAAATGTGCAACAAGGACACGAAGAAAGTGCGATTATTGCTCATCATGGGGCTCCCCCTTGAGGCTCCGATCAAACTTAATGGCCCGAGAGTTGACAGTGTGCAATTATTGCACGGCTGGAGGGCTGATCTTTTTCATAATGGAGATGTTCGCTAGACACCTCCCTAGATTGTAGCAGGATGCGTCCCCTGCACTTTTTCACCGTAGGCGGCTGGAGGATCTGTCCTTTTCAAAACAGGATCTTGCCTGAACGACAGGCCCACAACGCTCGTCTTTCAAGGCGGGGGCGGTTCCCGCACTGGGGAGGAATATTTGTAGGAACCAGTCAGGAGGGGAATTTGGACGGGAGGGCGTATGACAGCATAGTTGACGCATCCTGGCGGTCTTGTGGCGATCCTCCTCCACCTGTCGCTGTCGCTGCTGGCCTCGATGTCGATAACGAGGTTGCCACTGCCGCCTAGCGCGCTTGGGGGGTCCGCCGAGGATTCGCCACGGCGCCGTCCTTTGCAACTGATTACCTGAGTGCACCGCGTCGATGCTGCCACCTAGCTTACACCATACAGCGCGCACCGCATACATTCTCTGCTCAAGGAATAGGATCCACCCTCTGCGGTTTCCAGGCTTACCGGGCCCCTTGGGGACATTGCAGTGCACATTTGATGGTTCCTCGTCGTTCCTTTTTTCAAGCGAAGTCATATCATCCCAGCCAACCAGGGTGCCGACACCCTCCTAATCCCTGGCGAGTAACATGATGCGCGCATGCTCGCTGATCTCGAAGGATGACGTTGCAAGAATCCCTTGCACAAAAAAATCCACGCGCGCACATGCCCAAATCGTACCAAGCACATGGATTATGCGAGCGCTGCCGCAAAACATGGCAAAAACGAGTAGGCGCTTCACTTCAAACATAGCAGGATGTCTGCTCGCGCACGTTCTCTGAATTCGTATGACAAGTGTCTGCTGTTTGGGCCATCTCGTCCAGACCCCGCGTTGTCATCTCACCACCCGGCGCATCGGCGCTGATCCAGCATGGGCCCACTGCGTGAGTCCGTATCAGAGAATGCCATGCAGGCCACGCGCGCGTGTCGGAATTCGTCCAAGTCTTTGGTTCCCGAAGCAAGTCAATATGGAGCAGTACAAAAAAAATATACGAAAACCAGTTGGTTGTCCAACGGCCAGTGAGCCTGATGTATTGCATTTCTGCGCGCGCACTTCCTCACCATCACCCGCGTCAACACAATTGCATCACCTCCCTTATCCTCATCACCAAACGCAGTTATCGCCGCCATCATCTGTCAATCACCTTGATCACCGACACATGGACATCATCCTCTTCATCGTCGTCACCAGCATCGGCGCCGTTATTGGCCTTGCCGCCCTCACCGTCATTACCGCCATCACCACCGCCACTATCATCGTCGCCGCCGCTGTCGACGTCATCATGATATCGCGCCCGCCTGGGTCACCGCACGCCAGCGCGGTTTCTGACACGCGCTCGGAAGTTCCCATCGGCAAGCGCCATCGTAGCGACATCAGTTGTGCCAAACCAGTTGGCCGCCCTGCGCGCGAGCTTGCGCGCGTCAGCGCGGCCGCAAAGATGCTCCAGCCAGGGCCAAGTAATCACCGAGTCGCGACGTCATGAGTTTGCCGAGCAAGTTGCGGGTGGAAGGGTGAGACGAATGCGCGAGCAGTGAAATTGACGATTCACGAGCTTACAAAATGAATCACACCTCGTAGACCACACTACAGGGCTTGCGCACTCACGGTGCAAGAAATTACTTCGTGGAGTCCACGCTGGCTAACATGAAACACCTCTATCAGCATCACCCTCCATGACAAACAAGTCCGACATTGGGAGAACTTGAATGCCGACGTAGGTCCTTGATTTCGGCTTCTGGATGCCAGTTCCAAACCTAGCGCCGGGGAGTCAAGGCTTCTGGGGGGGGGGGGCATGTTGAGGGTCGAAAGAAACAACGTCGGAGGTTTTGAAGGTGGAGAATGGAAGGAATCGGAGAAGGAGGAGGAGAAGGAGTGATCAGAGTTGCTGCCCATCTCTATTGGCACCTAGTGGTTTTGGGGGGGGCGTATCTTCTTGCTATTCCGCCATCACCATCATCAGCATCATCATCACCACCACAATCATCATCATTGTTATCATTGTCATTATTATCATCCTCACGATCATCACTCATCATCGTCATCATCATCAGCATCGTCATCGTCATCATCATCATCATCATCATCATCATCATCATCATCATCATCATCATCATCAATACGGTCAGCATCCTCATCATTATCCTCTTCTCTCCTTCCCATCCTCATCCTCCCCCTCCCTCCTTCTCCTCCTTTCCATTGTTGTTCTTCCTCTTCCTCCTCCTGATCATCCTCCACCTTGTTCTTCCACCCCTGCCTCCCTTTCTTTGGAGGTCTCCGGACGTTCAAAATCGTCTCAACCTTCCATCCCTCCTTCCCCTCCCTAATCGCCTCCCACCCTGCCCTCGCCTCCCCTTCCTCCTCCGCCCCTCTGCCCCCTCATCCTCCTCGCCGTCCTCATCCTCCTCCTCCTCATCCTGCTCGTCCTTCTCCATTCCTTTTCCTTTTTTATAAATAACTAGAAAAACAAAAAAAAAAAAAAAAAAAAATCTCCCTGTCGCACCCCGAGGCCAGTTTTGAGGGCGGGCCGGGCGTTTCGCCGAGACTTCTAGACTTCTTGACCACGTATGATCCTGAAGCTTAAACTTGGCAAACGCTTAACAGATGTAGGGCGGGTGGTTTTCTAAATGTGGCTCTCGCGTGAGCGCCGTGCACATTTGTTTTGTTAAAAATGCAAGAGCTTCACGGATTGAGGGCGGGTGTTTTTCACAATGTGGTTCTCGCTTGCGCGCCGCGCACGCTCGTTTTAAAAATTTGCAAGAGTTTCACGGATTGAAGGCGGGTCGTTTTCATAATGTGGCTCTCGCCTTACCGCCGCGCACATTCATTACAAGAGCTTCACGGATTGAGGGCGGGTCGTTTTCATAATGTGGTTCGCGTTTTTGTGCCGCGCACATTCGTTTTAAACATCTGTAAGAGCTTCACGGATTGAAGGCGGGTGGTTTTCATAATGCGGTTCTCGCCTTAGTGCCGCGCACATTCGTTTTAAAAGTTTGCAGGAGCTTCACGGATTCAGGGCGTCTCCTTGTCAAATGTGGTTCTCGTTTGAGCTCGCGCACCTTCTGAGTCGCGGTGTTGACAGCCCAGGAATGGCGTCTTAGTACGATTCAGGATCGCCAAGACGCAACAGACAAGTTGATCCGTGGCGCTGGAATCCCGAGAACAATGTTTTGGCACGCTTCAGGGTCTTCAAACGGTTGTCTTCCAACGAGGCAGTTTCCTCAGTGGAAATTAACCGTTGTAAGGGGCCTATGAAGAGGGAACTCGGAAAGAGGGAGCTCGGAGGGAGGGTTTCTTCTCACATCGTTGGTGACTCTTGGGTCTACTCTGGTCCTCCTCCTCGCCGTCCTCCTCCTCCTCCTCCTCGCCGTCCTCCTCCTCCTCCTCTGCCGGCGTCAGTTTCGGCCCAAGCCGTTCGCAGGCCCGCCTCCCCCCCTCCCCCGTCTGCAGGCCGCCTCCCACAGGCCACTCCGACATCCTCGAGGCGACGAAGGAAGGAGGAGGGAGCGGAGGAGGGGGGGAGGGGATGAGGAGCACCAGGGACCGAGGAACCTTGTTCGGGGACGTGTCTTGTCCTCTTTAGGCCCGCGGATGCCTCGAGAGGCCCCCAGGGGACTTTTCGGGACTTCAGGGGGCCCCACGGAGCTTCTGGAGACCTCTGGAGAGGAGGAGGTGGAGGAAGAGCAGGAGGAGGACGGAGGGGGAACATGGGGAGGAGGAGGGGGCCAAGGAGGAGGGGGAGGAGTAGGACGACGACGACGGCAGCAACGGCGACGACGACGACGTCGACGACGACGCCGACGACGCCGGTGGCGGCGGCGGCGGCGGCGGCGGCGACGACGACGACGACGACGACGGCGGCGGCAACGACGACGACGACGATGGCGACGGCGTCGACGACGCCAGCTGCGGCGACGCTGGCAGCGGCGAGACGACGACGACGACGACGACGACGACGACGACGACGACGACGACGACGACGACGACGACGACGACGACGACGACGACGACGACGACGGCGGCGGCGGCGGCGGCGGCGACGGCGACGGCGACGGCGACGGCGACGGCGACGGCGACGGCGACGGCGACGGCGACGGCGACGGCGGCGACGACGAGCCCGCGTGCATCCGCAGCGAGGCGCGATGCTCAGCCGAGCACTGGGCGCCGTGGCCGGGCGGGGCCGCGCCGTGGCGCGGCGGCCCCTGGGGGCGGCGGCCGCGCGCCCGTTCTCTGCCGTGACGCTGCCCGCGGACTCGAACCAGGCCCTGGGGATCGCCCAGTGCCCCTGGGGCGCATGGGAAGGGAAAGGGGAGGAGGAGGAGGAGGAGGAGGAGGAGGAGGAGGAGGAGGAGGAGGAGGAGTTGGGTTGATGTTGGCCGTCGCTGCCCCTCTTTTCCTGTGGCTCGCGAAGCACGCCAGGGGTGGCGCCAGAGGCGCCGCCATGAGGGTCCAGCGCCGACCCAAGAAGCCCGCGCGAACCCCGACAGTTTACCCTCGTGCCGTTTGATGCTCTTCTGTTTATCCAGCATGCCCTCGCGGTTTGGATATCGAGGCGCGGTGCCACGGATGTATTCCGCGCAAGGCCGCCCTGTATCCAGAGAGTCGCGGCTAGTCCAGGCCGTGAGGCTGTGGACACAGATATGATTCCCGCCCACGAGGGGAGGTGGAGGGTCGATGATCCAGGATCGAGGTTTGGGAGCGTCTCCCGCCGACGTGGGGGCCTCTTGGGGGGGCGGTCTCCTCGCAACCGCGGCTGGATTGCCCTGTGAAGTCGGGTCGTTCCGCTCACAACCCTGGGTGGCTTCATACGCGGGGAGGGGCGTCGGCCCCTGGCGCATCGGCCGCTTCCCCCGGGGGGGGAGCTCTTCATCCCGAGCCGTTCCCGACACCCGCGGGGGCCGGGAGACGGCCCCCGGCGGCCGAAACCGAAGAGGGCCGTCACGGTTTCTGTTGCGACGCCCAGATCCAGGGAGGGAGGGTGGTCGGGCGCTGCCAGGGAGGGGGGTCACCACTGGGGGGGTCTCCACCGCCGCATGGAAGTCGGCGATCGGAGGTTCGAAGAGGGGGTCCTGAGGGACAGGGTCCTCGTAGGAAGGTAGCCCAGGGTGGATTTGCATTGTTGGAGGCACCTCGTCCGTGGGGATGGGACCCCATGTTTGAAGCACCGAGGCTATCGAGGAAGCGGGAGGATCGAAGCTCGAGGAGGCTGGGGGCTCTGGGGGTCCAGGGAGAGGCCCGCTTCTTGGAACAAAAACACCGCATCGCAAAAAACCGCGACCAGAGACCTGGACCTCATTTTTGCTGCGGCAGATTTCGAGCCAGATCGATATGTGAGGGTCCCGGGGCGCGACAGCAGGCGAAAACGCCCAGTGTGAGAAAAGGGCAACGCCCAGATCTCGGGGTCAGTTGCGACCCCCCCTGGCATTGCATGGGATGGCGCTGTCTCTCGCCGGATCGTGCCGCGCGGGCGGGGCAGGGAGTCGTCGCGCGGGGAGGGTCCAGAGCGGGCTGTGCTGGGCGGGGCGGCATGGAGGGGCGGGGGGCTTCATTACAGGGCTCGAGCTAAACGGTTTTTTCGCAATTTCGTGGACCGTTGTTCGTTTTGATTTCGTTTCGCAGCAAAGGCAGAGCGAAGACAGAACGAGCGAAATCGAAAACGGAACGAAAACGGAAAACACTGTTTGGCTCGAGCCCTGACTCATCATCTGGCGCAGCGGTGTTCTGGAGCTCGGAGCCCTTTATTTTCGTCGTGCGTCGTCGCTCGTGCCTCCCACTCCCGCCGCCCCGACAGTCAGGACGCTAGAGTACGGACCACTTGGGGCTCAGGGGGGGCTCTGGTTTTCGGGCCGTGCCTGAGACCTGAGGAGGAGGAGGAGGAGGAGGAGGAGGAGGAGGAGGAGGAGGAGGAGAGGGTAGGAGGAGGGGGAGGAGGTAGGAGGAGGAGGAGGGAGGAGGAGAGGAAGGAGGAGGAGGAGAGGAGGAGGGGAGGAAGGAGGAGGAGGAGGAGGAGGAGGGGGAGGACGGGGGAGGAGGGAGGAGGAGGAGGAGGAGGATGAGGAGGGGAGGAGGAGGAGGAGGAGGAGGGGAGGAGGAGGAGGAGGAGGAGGGAGGAGGAGGTGGAGGAAGGAGGAGGAGGAGGAGGGGAGGTGGAGGAGGAGGAGGAGGAGGAGGAGGAGGAGGAGGAGGCGGGGAGGAGAGAGGTGAGAGGAGGAAGAGGAGGAGGAGGAGTGAGGAGGAGGAGGAGGAGGAGGAGGAGGCGAGGAGGAGGAGGAGGTGGAGAAGGAGGAGGGAGGAAGAGGAGGTGGAGGAAAGGAGGAGGAGGCAGGAGGAGAGGAGGAGGAGGAGGAGGAGGGGGAGGTGGGGGAGGAGGGGGGAGGAGGGGGAGGAGGGGGAAGGAGGAGGAGGCGGAGGCGGAGGAGGAGGAGGAGGAGAGGTGGAGGAGGGGGAGGAGGAGGAGGAGGAGAGGAGGAGGAGGAGGAGGGGATGAGGAGGATGGAGGAGGAGGAGGAGGAGGAGAGGAGGAGGAGGAGAGGTAGGGGAGGAGGAGGAGGAGGAGGAGGAGGAGCGGAGGAGGGGAGGAGGAGGAGGAGGAGGAGAAGAGAAGAAGAAGAGAGGTGGGAGGAAGAGGAGGAGGAGGTGAGGGGGAGGAGGGGGAGGAGGGGGAGGAGGGGAGCGAGGAGGAGGAGGAGGAGGGGAGGAGGAGGAGGAGGAGGAGGAGGAGGAGGTGGAGTGAGGAGGAGGAGGAGGAGGTTGGAGGAGGGAGGAGGAGGGGGAGGAGGGGGAGGGAGGAGGAGGAAGGAGGAGGAGGAGGAGGAGGGAGGAGGAGGAGGAGGAGGAGGAGGAGGAAAGGTCGTGCCTGAAATTCGTGGCCGAGCCTCGCCGCGGCCTGTCGCCCATGGATGGCCCCGGGGGTGCCCAGCGAAGACCCCAGGAGACCGCCCCCTCGTCGCCCTGCCAGATGCCGCGAGGGACGGAGGGTCGGGCTAAACGATGGGGAGCGACGGGGAGAGAGGGAGGGGTCCGAAGGCTGCCGCACGTGCAGACGGTTTCGGCCACGCCTCGAGGCTTTCTTCCCCCGGCACAGGGGCGCCTCCGACGCCAGGAGGCGCCGGACAAAGCAGTTGCGTGCAGCCGAGTCGCTGATCCCTCTTCGCAATCCCCCCACCCCCTTTCGTGGGGCACGAGAGGAGGAGGTTCGAGTCCGGTTCGCTGGCTGAGGCTTCTGAGCGTGGTGGGCTCTTCTGGGGGCCTCCAGGAGGCTCCCCGTTACCACGGCTGGCTCTGCCTCGAAATCCTGGCCAGAATGCACCATGACACCGCGAGACAGGTCGGAACCTACTTCAGGAGGTGGAGGAGGAGGAGGAGGAGGAGGAGGAGGAGGAGGTTCGACGAGGGTTACGTTTTCGGGCCCGTGGGCTGCCAATAACTTCTATAGAAAGTTGAGAGTGGTCTGAATATAGATTTTGAGTATGTTCGAGGACGGCGGAGAAGGAGCAGTGCAAACCCAAGACGCATCAACGATGTTGCAATAAACCCTCCCTCCAAGTTCCCTCTTCATAGCTCCGTACCAGAATTTGTTTTCATTGTGGAAAGTACCCAATTGGAAGACAACCGTTGGAGAACCCGTAATGGTGCTAAAAGACAGTTCTTGGGATTTCGGTGCCGCGAATCAACGTGACTGGTGCTTCCTGAGAACCCGATGTCGCTCGAGAACAGTATTCTTGGGACATCAACACATTCTAAATCGTGCCAGAGAATCATTCCTGGAACTCCAACCATACGGATTCTCAAAACTGCCGTAAACTGTTAAGACGGATGTGCGGGACGCCATGGCCAGAGCCACATTTTGAAAACGAGCCTCCCTCCATCCTTGAAACCGCTGCAAACTTTTAAGACGGATGTGCGTGGCATTCAGGCGAGAGCCCAACTTGAAAACCACCCGCCTTCCATCCGTGAAACTGTTGCACAGTTTGAGACGGATGTGCGCAGCGCTCAGGCGAGAGCCGCATTTTGAAACATGTTGAAAACGTCCCGCCCTCCACGCGTGCCATTGCTGCTATGTGTAATGTCGCATGTGCGCGGCGCTAAAAAAAAGAGCCACGTTTTGAAAACGGCCCGCTCTCTATCCGTGAAGCTGTTGCGAATTTCAAGCTTCGGTCATACATGGTGAGGAAGCCTCAGGCGAAACGCCCGGCCCGCCCTACCGACACGTCTGGGGGAGCGACAGGGAGGCGTTACTGATGAGGAAAAGGGATGGGGGGGAGCTTTGTGCTCTTTTGCCTTTCTGGGCCTCCTGGTGGCACCCGTCGCCACGGCTGGATCCGCCTCGAAGTCCTGGTCGGGACGCGCCCTACGGGATTTCGATGGTTCGATTTTAGGCTGGGCGGCAGGTACGCCAAGGACTTCATCGGCGGCAAGTACGGGGATAACCTCGACGCCTCCGTGTGGGAGCGTATCGAGGACTATCACCTCCTCTTCCTCCTCCTCCTGCTCCTCCTCCTCCTCCTCTTCCTCCTCGTCCTGCTCCTCCTCCTCCTCCTCCACCTCCTCCTCCTCCTCCTCCTCTTCCTCCTCCTCCTCCTCCTCCCCTCCTCATCCTCCTCCGCCGCCGCCCCCGGAGCTTCCGGAACCTCGGAGTCTTTCTCCTCCTTCTCCTCCTCCTCCTCTTCCGCCTGCGGGCACCTCTGGAATCTCCAGGCGCCTCTCGAAGCCTCCGAACGCCTCCTCCCCCTCCTCGCTTCTTTTCTCCCCCTAGATGTTCCACACCGACTCCGTGATGTGCGGTGTGTCCGCGCTGGCACTGAAGACGAATGCCCCCACCGTGCTGAGGGAGGAGGCGCTCGAGTACCTGGACCCGAAGGAGCCAGAGCCGATCCGTCTCAGCCGCCTCCTATTGACCTTCCTCCACCTCTTCCTCCTCCTCCTCCTCCTCCTCCTCCTCCTCCTCCTCCTCCTCCTCGTCGTCTTATCTCCTTCCCTCATCTCATCAGCCCTCCCTCCATCCCCTCCTCCTCCTCCTCCTCCTCCTCCTCCTCCGCCTCCTCCACCTCCCCTCTCCTCTAATCCTCCTATACTCATCCTCCTCCCTCCTATCGCCCTCTCCTCATCCTCATCTGCTCCTCCCCTCCTCTGTCCCCTCCCCTCCTCCCCTCCTCAGTCCCCTCCCTCCCCTCCTCTCCTCACTACCTCCTCATCCCTCCGCACTCTCATCATTAATCCTCAGTCCTCATCCTGCCTCCTCCTCCTCCTCCTGCCTCCTCCTCCTCCTCCCTTCCTCCTCCTATTCCTCCTCCTCCTCCTCCTCCTCCTCCTCTCTCTCTCCTCCTCCTCCTCCTCCTCCACCTCCCTCCTCCTCCTCCTCCTCCTCCTCCTCCTCCTCCTCTTCCTTGCACATCCCCCTATCCTCCTACTGCTGCATTGCTGGGGACAGTTTTGTCCATCGTCCAGCTGCTGCTGCTCCTCCGTTTCCTCTTTCTCCTCGACCTCAGCCTCCTCATTGTCCTCCCTCTTCTAGACCCGAAGGGCGCGACGGTCTTCGGCTCCAGCGTCCGATGCGCCCCCGAGAAGTGCGTCGCGGCCAACGCCTCCGCCGTGCGAGAGTGGGACTCCAACGGTATCGCGCATGGATCAGGAGGAGGCGGAGGAGGAGGAAGAAGAGAACCATAATAATTCCAACATGCATCAACGATGCTGCAGAAGACCCTCCCTTTCCCAAGTCTCCTCCTACATACCTACAAGGTTTCTTTGTTCATGACTAGAAGCGCACCGATCGAAAGACCAACGCCATTCGGGCCCGCCATCGTTGCAAGGGCCCCGTTTTGAAAAGAAATAAATTGCCTTGCATCCTTCTGGCGCATAGTCGAGGAAGCGAGAAGCTATGATCAAACCGTTCAACACGGTGTCCAGGGAGATCCCCTTTCGAAGTAGGACCGCCCCCCTGTCTGTGCAAACGTTGACAAATCCTACACTAGTAGTCGAAAACTTGGAGAAATCGTGGCACATGAATTGAAGCTCTGGGTTGGTTAAGACAGGGGAGTCTCAAGCGAGAGCCCTGTTTTAAAAAAGGGCAGTCCTCAATGTGTCTATCTCTGCATGTTTGTTTGGCGAATGCACGCGGCGCTAAAGGGAGAACCCCAGTTTGAAAACGACCGCTGCTCCATCTGAGTGGATGTTGCAAGACCTTGCCAAACGAATGCGCGCGGCGCTGGGGCAAGAGCACCGCTTTGAAAACGGCCTGTGCTCCCTTATTGTCACCATGGCGAGTCTTTATCAACGAGTGCTTACCTGCCTGGGCCCCAAGCAGTCAGTTATTGCACTGTGGATGTGCCGGCTATGTGTTCCAAGTTGTATGGTGCAATCGATGTTGTGCAAGTAACTTATGTCCAGTGGTGAGATGTCAAATCCATTGCTCGCGCAAACATCCCGTCCTTCCACCCGCATCTTGTTTTGCATGAAAACACGATGCGCGATTGCGGATATACTTGGCACTGACTGGCGCATCACTGCGGCCGCGCTGGCGCGCGCGCAAACTCGCGCGCAGATCGACCAACTGGTTTGGCACAACTGATGCAGCCGCGATGGCGCTTGCTGGTGGCACTTCCTATTGTTTTTCGGAGGCCGCGCTGGCGCGCGGGCACTTCAGTGCGGCTCGGTGATCCCAGCAGGCGCGGCATCAGGATAACGTCCACCTTTGTTGCATCGATGGTGGTAACGGCGATGATGATGGCGATAATGACGGCGATTGGCGACGATGAAATCGTCGGTGCTGCGGTGGTGGTGATGAGGGTGATGGCGAGGAAGTGCGCGCGCGCTGAAATTCAAGAGGCCTGGCAGATGCTCGACTGAACAAGGCGTATTTTCAGATGTGTTTGGACAGCTGTATCTTTAGATGTTTCGAGAACCCATGTTTTTTGGGCGCTTGCTGAATCAACGCGGATGCTCCGCGTAATTATATGATAATGCGGCTTGGCGGAATTGTTGAAACTATTTGGCTGTCGTTTGAAATCCTTGCAGCAATGACATGTTTGGTCTGATGTCTACGTGTGCGCACGCGCGCGGTAGTTCTGATTTCTGCCTCAAAAGATGATTGGGAAGTTATTGATAGATACTAGCAAATGCGCGCGCGTAGTATCATGTGGCAGTGATGGAAGGGGGTGGTAACTCGTTGGTCTGGGATGGTATGGTTCAATTATGGGAACTACACGACGATGGGAGGGAATCATATGAAAATTGTTGCCCCCGTGGACTCGATAAGTCTGGGTTTGGGAGGGGGTGAGTCTCAGGTTTTTCTCGAAAGACATTTAGTCATGAATTCTCAATTCCTCTACTCGTGCAAACACCCCTCCCTCCCACCCGCAACTTGTTTGGAAAAATTGTTCGGCAACGATTACATTTGCAGGTTGACACTTGCTAACGTATCTCTGCGGCCGCGCTGGCGCGCAAACGCTTGCGCGCAGATCGGCCCACTGGTTTGGCACAGCTGATGCGGCCGCGATGGCGCTTGCCAATGGGAGCCCCCCAGCGTGTTTCAAAGGCTGCGCTGGCGCGCGGGCACTGCAGTGCGGGTCGGTCATCCGGGCGGGCACGGTATCATGATAACGCCGGTAACGGCGGCAACGATGGTGATAATAGCGATGGTTGGGGCGATGATGATTGGTGGCCACGGCGATGTCAATGACGGTGTTGATGGCAGCGACGACGATGCCAATGATGTTATTCACGCGTTGGCGATGAACGTGGTCGTGCTGATTATGACGGCGGTGGTGCGCTGGCGCAGTTGTGGGTGATGGTAGGAACGCGCGCGCCTTCAGAATTCCAAGTAATCTGGCAAACCGTTTGTTGGATGACATGTTTTTGTTGTTTCATGTGTCGCCCTATTGTGGACCGTTGGGTTTTGCTCACGCGCGTGTGTCGGCGCACGCATGTGGCCCGCTTGGTATGATGCCGTACGGATCCGCACAGTGGGCGCACGCTAGATCGACGCGAATGCGCCGCGTGGTGAAGCGAACATAAAAACGCTGGAAACTATTTTTTCATATATATATATATATATATATATGTATATATATATATATGCGTGTGTATATATATATATATATAATCCGCAGGTGCGCGCGGGCACATTTGTTACAAAACTGATGATGAAACGAGTGGTTGACTGTCAGGTGTGTACGCGGAAGTACTTCCGAAATCGGTTTGTTTTATCGGAGTTCGACATTTGCGCGCGTGTGGAGTTTGTCGCATTGGTTGGTAAGGGTTTATCCGTAAGGGCTTCGCCCACTGCTGCTGGCCCCTTCTCGATCATAACGGAATATATCCGAGTCGCGTCGGAGCGTTTCGGCGCTGCCTTGGCGCATCTGGGAGCATCATGCGGGGGCGGATAGGAATCATCAGCGCAGATTGAGGCGTTGGCGTTATCGAAGACGCCTACGGCGAATCACCGCCGCCCCCTGCCTTTTTGGAAGCGCCTATGTGGCCGAACGGTGAGGCCAGACCTGCCAAGCTATCGGAGCATGTGTTCCTCGAATCGGTTTGGAAAGACTTCGGGGAACACATGGGCATCTTGAAGGTCATCGTGGCCGTCTGAAGGCCATTTTGACCCTTTCGGGCCTTCTTGGAGGACGTCTTGGAGGGCTCTTGGGCCGTCTTGGAGGCCATCTTGAGCGTTTTGGAGGCCTCTTGGGCCGTCTTGGGGGCCTCTTGGGGCCGTCTTGGGCGATCTTTGAGGGCACTTGGGCCGTCTCGGGCCGTCGGAAGGCCAAAAAAAAGCAAATGGCACAATCCTTCAAAAACCCCTTGGAGAAATCAATGATTTGGGCCTTTTCGGGTCTTCCTGGAGGCCCTCTTGGAGGCCTTCTGGGCCATCTTAGGGCCATCTTCGGCCGTCTTGGTGGGCTTCTGGCCCGTCTGACGCCGTCGGAAGCCGTTTGGGGGGTGTCTCTGGGCCGATTTGGAGGCCTCTTGGGCCGTTCTGGGGCCATCTTGGAGGCCTCTTGGGCGATCTTTGGGCAATCTTGAGGGGCTCTTGGGCCGTCTCGGGCCGTCGGAAGGCCGAAAAGAGGCAAATGTCAAAATCCTGGTGTACATACGTGTATATATATATATATAAAAATAAATAAAAGACAAACAAACAAACAAACAAAACGTGAGTTTAACCTTCTTCTGGCCTTCCCGGAGGCCTCTTAGAGGCCTCTTGGGCCGTCTTGGGCCAGCTTCGAGCCAACTTCGGCCATCTTGGTGGGCTCCTGGCACGTCTGACGCCGTCGGGAGCCGTCTTGGGGGGGCCTCTCTGGGCCGACTTGGGGCCCTCTTGGGGCGCTTCGGGGCCGTCTTTGGGGCCACCTTGGGCGTCTTGGAGGCCTCTAGGCCCGTCTTGGGGCCCTCTTGGGGCCGTCTTGGGGGTCTCTTGGGCCGTCATGGGGCCATCTTAGGGCCTCTTGGGCGATCTTGGGGCGGCCTCTTGGGCCGTCTTGGGCCGTCGGAAAGCCGTTTGGAAAGCTTTCGGGGAGCACGTGGGCATCTTGGAGGTCATCTTGGCCGTCTTGGAGGCCTCTTGGGCGATCTTTCGGCGATCTGTGGGGGTTCTTGGGCCGTCTCGGGCCGTCGGAAGGCCGAAAAGAAGCAAATGTCAAAATCCGTCAAATACCTTAGGAACATCAATGTTTTTGGCCTCTTCTGGCCTTCCCGGGCCTTCTTGGGAGCCTCTTGGGCCGTTTTGGGCAAGTTTTGAGACAACTTCGGCCATCTTGGTGGGTTCCTGGCACGTCTGACGCCGTCGGGAGCCGTCTGGGGGGCCTTTCAGGGCCGACTTGGGGCCCTCTTGGGGCGCTTCGGGGCCGTCTTGGAGGCCATCTTGGGCGTCTTGGAGGCCATCTTGGGCGTGTTGGAGGCCTCTTGGGCCGTCTTGGGGCTCTCTTGGGGCCGTCTTGGAAGCCACTTGGGCCGTCATGGGGCCTTCTTGGGGGCCTCTTGGGCGATCTTGGGGGCCTCTTGGGCCGCCTTGAGCCGCCGGAATGCCGAGAAGAAGCAAATCCCCAAATTCGTCAAAATCTTAGGAAAATCAATGATTTGGGCCCCTTCGGGCCCCCCCGGAGGCCGCCCGGAGGCCCCGGCCTCCGGGGGGCCCCCCGGGCCGCCCCGGGCCGCCCCGGACCCCCCCCCGCCTCGGACCACCCCGGGCGAACTCGGAGGCCATCTTGGACCATCTTGGAGGCCATCTTGGGCCATCTTGGCCATCTTGGACGCCGTCTGGAGCCGTCTTGGAGGATTTGTTCGGGACTTTGCGCTCCTGGAAGGTCCTCCCGGGACCCCGGCAGGACGGGCCGAAGCGCCAGGGGAAGTTCGTTTGGAAAAAGAGCCAAAACCAAAACCGAGAGGTCCAGCACGCCAGGCACCCTTGCGATGAATCGACAGGTGGCGGCGGATCGAAGACGCCTACGGCGAATCACCGCCGCCCCCTGCCTTTTTGGAAGCGCCTATGTGGCCGAACGTTGAGGCCAGACCTGCCAAGCTATCGGACCATGTGTTCCCCGAATCGGTTTGGAAAGCCTTCGGGGAACACGTGGGCATCTTGAAGGTCATCGTGGCCGTCTGGAGGCCATTGTGACCCTTTCGGGCCTTCTTGGA